TTCCATTTATCAGTAACAAAAAAATCACCTATTATTAGTGAAATGAATTAAATGACTCTTGATGAAACATACACATACCAGTGAGAGATGATATTAAGTAAATTATTATTTGGGACCAAAAAGGTGAGTTTTGTTCTATCTTAACTATAATACATTTGAATTATCTGGAAGAGCCCTTTATCCTATCTTCTGCACCTTGAGAACAACAGAATGAAAAATTATATCTCAGCTTAGGAACTAGTACCCATGAGAAAGAGAGGCAATTATGAGAAACCCCCTAGAAGAATTAGGAAAAAAAAAAATAGAAGCTGTGTATTTACTTAAACTAACCTCCTCCCTGCCTCTTACCAGCACTGCCTTCTTTCTGACCATTTGGATCCCAGTTGCCTACTCCCCATCCCATTTTGCCTGCTATAATCTCTTCTTCCTCTGTCTTACTTCTTCCTGGTATTACTTTACTACTATTTTACCAACCTGAACCTTGGATTAAACCTAGCTCAGGTAAGGACTTAATTACTTTCAAAATATACAAGGGGGATACATACCTGGTAGGGAGATACCATGATCACAAAATATACAAGGGATTTGGGGGGGAGGCAGTCTGGGTACAGTGGAACTAGAGTCGGAAGCCTAAATTATTTTTATTTCTGCTGCTTGAAGCTATATGACCTTAGGCAAATAATTTCTTATTTCTGGGCTTCACTTTTCTCATCTAAAAATGAAATTGAACATTATTGAACCCTAGTTCTAGTACAGATTCTCTCCCTTTTCCTATGAATGAGAATATACGGTATATTCCAGAATACTAGAAGCCAATAAGGTGTTTACATTGCTAATGGTAAGAGCTCCTACCATTGATTCTCACATGGAATAAAAGTCTGCTGTTGTGAAATCCATTATTGATTTTGAGATTTTAGTGGAGGAAGAAGAAAACATTGCACATCACTATGAGCCCTCAAGTCATTAAGAAACATCCTGCTGAGACAGATCAAACCTTATGAGAACAACACCTCTTTCAAGGAATAAAATTATATGATCAAGGTTTCTGGACCCACTTATTTGAGTAGTGTTCAATATAAAAATAAAAATAAAAATCCACTATCAATACAATTGCTGATGTTTAAGACCCTTTAAACCTGTTGTGGCTACAGTGTGCTGACTTGCCCTTTTATAGGCCAGTCTGCTTCCTTCAGTCCCTGCTCTCAAAGGGGAAATCCCACCACCTCAACTAACCAGAGTGAAGAAGAGAGTTGGACAGCCAGTGGTGCCCTCTCCTAACCAGAGGTAAGAAATCTCAGGACTTGGAACTACAGTTTCTATCTGTTCTTATAGATCTGGTCAAACTCTCTTCCAAAATTACTATATGAAGGGGCCATCATATGCTTGAGGTAGCTTGTAGAGGGGAAAGGCTGGTCATATAGTTTCAAGCCAAACAGAGAGGCGTGTTTTGTTTACATGGTTCTGTCCCACTGTTTAAGTAAGACCTTTGGACCACATTGTGATCCCAGGAAGAGGCAAACAAGCCTGTAGGAAAACAGCTTCTGAACACCTTGTTCTCTAACGAGCCCTAGATATCTTCTACCAAGAAGTGTGGCTGGTTGTGACGTCTCCTAGTGGACCCTGCCCTGGGGTGAGGGGCTCTGATAATACTGCATTTTCTATTCATTCTCAAAGATTTGTCACCATTTGCCAATAAGCAGGTTCCTTTACCCTCACACTCCTATTAGGAAATGGGTGAGAAAAAGATGGTTTTAATTATCCACAACTTAAGTGTATTAAGATCACCACCAAACAAGGGCAGGAGGCTGGGATTCAAGACCTAATTTGGAAAACAAATCAAGAATCTAATGATCCAATTGCAAACCTGTTTTGTGATTACTTTTCAACTCCCGTTTTATCTTGATGATATTGTCCCTTAGTATATGAACAAAGGATTGGTTCCAGGACTCCCTATAGATACCAAGATTTAAGATGCTCAAGTCCTTTATATAAAATGGGATGCCTGATGCATGAAGATTTGTGCAAGAATGGGCCTTCCTTCCCCTGGCTTCCTTCCACCACCTTTGCTCCGGCCTGAGCTGCCTTTCCGCCTTCCCATGCTGCCCAGAGATCCCAGTGGCCAGGGTGGTGTGGAATGCCTGCATCCTGCCCGAGCCACCCTGCATATCCAAATTGACCTGCCATCTTTGGTTAATTTGCATACTCCTGATTGGCTTGTGAATGTCATGAAGGTACAGTCAATTTGCATCTTTTTTTATTATTATTATTAGTGTAAATGGCATAGAATAATGCATACTTTTTAGCTCTTTGGATTCAAAACCAGGGGATATGAAGGGCTGACTGTATAGTGAAAAAATCTGCATAAAGGGACAACTGTAATTTGTCTGGTGGCAGAGACCTGATATTTTCTTGTAGATTTAGGCAGATTTCTGGATTTAGGGCAAGGGTATAGGTGTTTATTTGTTTTTTTTTAAGTTCCCATACTCCAATGGGTAATCAGTATTGATCCAGATTGCATAGATGATGATCTGACTTTCTCTAAAGCCAACTACTTATTCTCTAGTTCCCTAGTCCTTAGAGGACACAGTGTCTCAAGAAAAGTAATCTAAAAAAAAAAAAAAAAAAAAAGAAAGAAAAGAAAAGTAATCTTCTACCAGCAGTCTTATAATATAATCTTAAAAAGTAATCTACCAGCAGTCTTATAAAACAACCTGCTGCTGTTGTTTTGTAGTAGCGATTAACAGAAGGGAAACCTCATTTCCACACTAATTCTTTTAGAAGCCACTTATACTTCTCTCTAGTTCTCCTCTGGCTGATCTTTCTCAGCTTCTTTTGGTGAATCCTCTTCCTCCACATGTTGATGTGCCCAACCTCTTTCGTTTATCTTCTTACCAAATGATATCGTACCCCTTGTTCTTAGATTTCACTCCACTTAAATATGCATCATTGGCTCAAAGTTCTCTGAACCTCAGACCAGCATATCTACCCTTTGGGGAATATGTCTTATTCCCCAAAAATAAGACAGTGTCTTATATTAATTTTTTCTCCCAAAGTTGCGCTAGGTCTTATTTTCAGGGGATGTCTTATCTTTCCATGCGCTAGGTCTTATTTTTGGAGGATGTCTTATTTTCGGGGAAACACGGCAGCTCCTTGTTGTGCTTCTCCATTCCATGCACATCAGACATCCCCGATATAAGATGAGCCCTTTCCCTTGTGTTCTCTGTTATATTGAGTGCTATTACTAGCTACCAAGATCTCAAGTCAGGAGATTGGGAAGTTTATCCTCATTTATTCCCCCTTTCCCTTCCCCTAACCTTAATCAGTCACCTTATCCTTTCTCCTCTGTTTATCTGGATCCCCTCCACTTCTCTCCTTCCTCACAGTCACTGCCCTTTTGCCCACCCCATTTCACTAGACTGGAATCTTCACCTTCATTCTCACTGTTCTCCCTCCCATCCTCCCTTCCCCCCACCAGACAACTTAATTGCTTAAAAGCTCAGTTGTCTGAAATGGCTCCTCATAATCTGCTGCTCCCAAGCCTTACCCTCCAACACTGCTAAGACATTTTAAGTATACACTACTTTATAAGGGGTTCAAATATATCTTTAGAACATAAAATATATAGATCCTTGATCCCTGAAGTGTGATTCTAAGGACCTGCTGAACCAAGGGACTGCATTACCCAGGATCTTATTAAAAACCCAGAATTTCAGGTCCCATCCCAGACCTATATCAGAATTCTCATTTTTAAAAAATATATTTTATTGAGTTTAGAGAGGAAGAGAGAGGGGTAGAGAGAGAGAAACATCAATGATGAGAGAGAATCATTGATTGGCTGCCTCCTGCACACCCCCTCCTGGGGATCAGGCCCACAACCCAGGCATGTGCCCTTGGCCGGAATCGAACCTGGGACCCTTCAATCCACAGGCCCATGCTCTATCCACTGAGCCAAACCAGTTAGGGCCAGAATTCTCATATAACAAGCTCTCGAAGTTATTTATGTGCACACTAAAGTTTGTGAAGCTCTGACTTATAAAATAGGGTTTTTTTTAATTAATGAGTGAAGGAATCAGAGCTAAGGAGAAATCTGATGAAGCCAGAGCTGAAGTAATATTGATAAATGCATGAAGTCAGGTGGTCTGTACTTTATTTGGAGGGTAGGAGGTGTAGAAGTACTCTGGTTTTAAACCAGAAAACAACTGGATGAAGTGATTTTTAGTGTATATAGGTAGTAGACTTATTCTCCCACCCCCTCTCCTTCTTCCTTTTATATCACTGTGTGATCAAAAAACCTTCTAAGGCCAGACTCTGACCTTCCTTTCCAGAGAATGAAAGAACAAGCACTCCTCATCGGCCTCCTGCCCTTCCTTAGTTTCCTGAGGTTAGGTTAGCTGTGGCTGACCGATCAGAGAGCAAACTCTCCTACCCCCCAACCTTTATTCATCCTTCCAGATATTACTCCTTCCAGAAAATCTACCCTTGATCGCTGCCCTCCCCACTTCTGCTGTGTACCAGGCCTTCACCCTGTATTGTAGTTGATTAATGGGAGGCAGTACTCAGCTGCGCTGAAAGGCACAGGCCCTGGAATCAGATACAATCAGTTCTGAATTCCAGCTTCCCGGGACTCCTAGAAGATACGTGACTGTGAACCAGTGACTTAATCTCTCTGGGATTTTAGTTTCCTCGCCTGTAAAATGTCTTAAACTATTTAAAAGGAATGGGTGAATTAATATATGGCAGTAAGGTGTACCTCACTTGTCCCCAGCGCCCAGCTGTAAACAATGACTAGTAAGTAACAGCGATTGCAGGACTCGGAGGGTGGCGGGCCAATGAACTCTCTCCAACTTTTACTGAGCCCTGGGCTTGCTCCATCGAGGGCGGAACCTCACGTTGAGTGACGGCCGGTGGCCCGCCCCGGGCGTGACGTCAACCAAGTGTTGTGGCTGCGGCCGCACGTGGTCGGCAGAGTCCGCCTCAGACTCTGCTGCGCTCTGCGTCTTCCGTACCAGCCGCTTGCCTTCCTGCTCCTCTCGCTCGCTATGTCCACGTTCACGAGCTGCCCGATTCCCGGGGGCAGAGACCGGCTGCCCGACTGCTACAGCACCACGCCGGGGGGCACGCTGTACGCCACTACCCCGGGAGGTCAGCAGGCCGGGCTGGGGTCCTCCGGGCGCGGGGTGGACAGCGCGAGTGTGCTATGAGGGCGGGGGTGGGGAGGTTCGGACTTGAGCTGGTCCAGGGGCCCCTCTGCTGGTTGTAGCTTGGGGAAGGTAGAGGAGGGCGGGTGAAGCCCAAACCTAGTTTCCGGGTGACTGGGGCTGAGATCCTCACTGGCCTGAGTTTTGGGCACTTTGCTTACCCGCTCCTCCCGACTTTGCCACCTTGGAGGCCGAGGCCCCAACTGAGGGTGGCCTCAGCAGGAATCGCCAGGTTTTGCAAAGTTGCTAGATCAGGCCGTCAGATAGGGGCATGGACTTCGGTGTATCTGTGGCTGGCTGGCTAGCGGCTGTTGGATTGCACAAGCAGTTTGGGATTATGAGCTGCTGGGCTTCCCATCCAGGGGTTCCTGCCACGGGGAGGCTGAGGGGAGGGCGGAGAACAAGGGCAAGGCAGGGCCCTTTGAGGACAAGATTAGGTGCCAATTTCCTTTAGGCTGGGCTGAGCCTGATAGGACTTGGGAGGGGTCAGGATAAGTACAGCATGTTCTTGTTTTGCGAGGAACACAGCTCCTCCCCACAGGATATCAGAGCCCAGGTGCCACTGGGTGAGCCGCCTTCACATCTGTTATTTGATTTCCTGATCCAACTAAGGCTGAAAGTCTAGGCCCCACCTTGTGAAACAGCAGTGAAGTTGCAGAGCCAGAGAAGAGCAGCCTGAAGTTTCTGAGCTCCAAATTGGTTCTCCTAGAGCCAAAATCTGAAGCTCCCCTGAGCCAAAAGCTCCTGCCTGGGCCAGCTGGTTTGGCCCACTTGCTTAGCCATATCCTGGTTAAGCCTGGAAATCTTCAAGTGCTGTGAATGCTCATCAGCTGAGCTCCGGTGGACTCCAGGGCAGTAGCCGTTTAAAACACAAGGAAATGTGACCCCCAAGGTCCCTAAAAGGCCTTTCCAGGGCCCCAGACAACTCTGTACCCAAGCTCCTGCCTCTTACGTAGCCCCTACCCCTTGACAGGCACCAGGATCATCTACGACAGAAAGTTCCTGCTGGAGTGCAAGAACTCACCCATTGCCCGGACACCCCCCTGCTGCCTCCCTCAGATTCCCGGGGTCACAACTCTTCCAACAGCCCCATCCTCCAAGCTGGAGGAGCTGAAGGAACAGGAGACAGAGGAAGAGATAACCGGTAAGGAAAGCAGGAACGGAATTAAAAATAAATGCCCGAGTCGAAATGCACTGGTTTAGAGTGGGGGTTCAAGTTTGAGTGGTTTCTGCACTAAAGCTGAGCCTGACCCTCAGCCCAGCAACCAGTCCTGCCTTTTCTCTCTCCAGATGACGCACAATTTGAAATGGACATCTAATCCAGTGCAGATGACCCGTGTGTGGAGTTACAGGAATCCCTCATGCCGCTGCTGCCACCACCTCTTCCTGGGGTATCCGAAGACCAGCTGGCCTCATCTAATCTGGGAGTGCTTGACTCTGGGCCTTAGTTCTGAGGCAGCTAGACCAAGGATAAGGAGTGGGCACCTTGCCAAGCCCTTAACTCTACTTTCTGTTCGGTTTGTAGGCACTCCTCCCAGCCCCAGCCCCACACTCAGGCTGAGGTGAGGACTGGGGGGAATGGAGTATGTCACTTGCCTCACTGCTTAGTAAATATTCAAAGAAATGCCTCGGCTCCAATGTTGTCAATGCTTATCTTCCCATCTCAGCCACACAACGGAGGGCCCCAGCAGACCTGGTTAGGATCAGAGGTCCCAGTTCCTTCCCAATTCAGATTGAACCCACTTCTATAAGCAATTAGAGCCTGTGGCAGGCTATAGGAACAAGCTATAGAAGCTACCAACTCTTAAACAGCACTAGCCTGACCCCTGCCAAGGGCTGTTCCAGCCTTTCCAGGAAGCAGCCTTCCTAAAATCAGGCCTCTCCAATTACCCCTCCCTCATCTGTACCAAACCAGTGGGGGGGGAAAGAGGCAATGCCCTAATCTTTTAGCCTTCTCTGATCTCTCCCCATGTCTTTTCTGCCTCCCAGTTATAAGTACCAATCCCAGTCTTTATTCCAAGCCTGTTCTAGACCTCAGGCCCCCTCAACCTGACTCTGTTATCTTCAAAGAACAGACCTCAGAACCCAATTGAGGCCCAAACTGAGGCAGCAAATTCCTAAATAGTCATAAATATATTGCCCTCTCCCAAGAAAAAATGTCACGATCCCATATCTCAGGAATCTGGTCTTTTTCTCCTCCAATGTATTTAGCTATGTTCTAATATCTGATCCTAATCTCCACAGCACTTAGTAAATCTCAAGATCATACAGTGCAAACAAGGCAATCTCCTTTTCTTGAAGGAAAATGCTCCCCATGCTACTTGAACCTCTGCTCTCATGCTGAAATGAAATCATACAAAGATAGGGTTACTCAGCCCAGCAAGGGATATGCGTTTAGCTCTGATTTGGGAAAAAGTGGAGGACAGTAATCTGGTCGTGCCTAGTAAGGCATTCATGATGAATGGAGGAAGAACAGAACTTTGTAGGGTGCAGAGAGAGAGGGCAGTCAAGGACACCAGAAGTGACCACTTTGGCATAAGAAGGGTTTATCTCCTAACCAGGGCCCACATTGAGATGTTTTTATTGAAACATACGTTAGGGATAACAAGTGACCACCGACCACCCTGTGGCCTAGCTGGGACCTCTTCCCCCAGAGCTGGGTCAGGCCGAGGAACCCAACAGGGCAGAGAGTCTCCCAAGTGCCAAGAGGAAGCCACGTGGGACAAGGCCTCCCCTGCCAAGGCACAGGAGATGGCGTGAGTTGAGTCTGGAGAACCCATAGGATTATGGATCCTGTTCTGGTACGGTCTGTTTCTCGGCTGTGGCTGCAGTTTTCTCTTCATTAGCCGCCTCCTCTGAAGACAGACTCCTCTTTTCTGCAATTAATCTTTTAACTCCCACCATCCACTGACTGACTTCGGTCACATGGTCAACCATGAGTGAGCGGTGGATGTCATCTGCTGCGTCCCACTGGTGGCTTAAAAGCTCTGAGGGGGGAGAGAGAGAAAGCTGAGCAAGCAGTCTGGGGCAAAGACAGCTCCCACTCCTCCCCTCAAAACCTCACTCTATTCCAGCTCAGCCAGCCACAGCAGGACAAGGCACCGATACCTCGCACCAGCAGCGCCATCCTCTTCTTCACAGGCGAGGACAGCTTCCCTCCAGCCCACTGTTCTCGCAGCAGAGCCAGGCGTCGGCTGATGTCATCACACACCTGCTTCTGAGAGACAGAGAGCACTGCAAGTCAGTGCTGCCACAACACGGCACAGAAACCTAGCACCACCTGCTTTCTCTGGCCCAGGGACTTCTTTACACTCAATCTTAGCATTCTGGTTCTTCACCCAAAGATTTGCGGCCCACTAAGAATTTGATGAAACTTATGGATATTTCCAAGAAAAATGCATGTAAGCTGTTCTCAGACCTCAAAAACTCACTTTACAAATAAGGAAACTAAGAACCAAATGGGTGAAAATTACTATGCTACTTTAAGACTCCTCAAATCCCTTGTCTCCAGATTACTTAAGAAACACTATAGATGGCAAAAGAGGGTTTCCCTCCCTCCGAGCGCAAAATCAGCAGGGTCTGCTCTGAATGGCCTAGAGGTATCATAATCAGGCTGTTTATCACTAATGGGAATTAAATTCAATTTTCATTCCTACAAGCCTCTTCTGACTGGTCTTCCGAAGTGCCTTGAACCCTCCTGAAACACTGTTTACTTTTCTGGGAAGGATTCCAAAGGAGTCCATAACTTGAAAGGGTAAATAGGCACTGCCCTTAGGATCACAGGGTCCACCTCTGGGAGCCATCCTTGCATCTGGCTGTCAATAGGAACCCTCCCCATCATCCCACCACAGTGCCAGGGTTTACCTTTGTGTGGCCACGACAGTCATCTAATGCCTGTTCCAAAGGTTTCAGCACATCTTCCAGCAGAGTCTCACAATCAGTGACTGGAAAATCTACGGGATCCACAGTGGAGGCAGGACAACTCCCCACTGGGGGCCTAGAAGGTGTACTTGAAGGAGGTGGAGGCCCCACTGGGGAGGGCCCAGGAGAAGTCTCTGAGGCGGGGACTGAAAAGGTAAAGCGGGATCAAACAAACACAGGCATAGCTGCTGAAACAGTCTGTAAGCAGCTCAACTCTGAGACAACTCATTCATTGAAAAAATAAGTATTTATGAAGTCCCTACTATGTGCCAGACAATGTGCGAGGCACCAGAGAGAGTGTAGTAAACTAGGCAGGTTAGGTTCCTGATCTCAGAGCTTGAGGAAGTGGGCGGTAGTGGGGACAAGAAAAATCACCAAATTGTGTTGCGTGCTACAAAGAAAATAGATCAAGTGAGTAAGAGGAATAGAGGGACCTACCTAGAAGGGCACCAAATTTTATCCCAGCCCACCCACAATGTGACATTTGGCAAGTAAGTTTTAACCTGAGCGTGGGTTCCTCTTCTATAAAATGGGGATATTACCATAATAGCATTTATTTTAGTTTCAGTGATGATTAAGAATATAGATACAGGCCCTAGCCGGTTTGTCTCAGTGGATAGTGTCAGCCTGCGACTGAATGGTCCCCAAGTTTGAGGAGCAAATGCCCGGGTTGCGGGCTTGATCCCCAATAGGGGGTGTGCAAGAGGAAGCTGATCAATGATCCTCTCTCATCACTGGTGTTTCTAGCTCTCCCTCTCCCTTTCTCTCTGAAATCAATAAAAATATACTTTAAGAAAAGAATATAGACACAGCTGCTAGATAGTGTGTAGCAAAAAAAACACAAAGTTAAGAACTAATGGATGAGATAGATGAAGCCATAAAAAGTTAAAGGAAACATACTAGAGGTAAGGGCAGTGCCTAAGAGGCAGGAAAAGTAAAGATATTAATTCTGTATGCTCTGAAAAGTAGATGAGAATAGGTCAAGAATGGAGGCAGGGACACCAATTGGGAGGTTAATGGAGTAGAGGTCCTGAAAAGAGAAGCTGGCATGGACTCGTGTGAAAAATTAGAGATGAGGGAAATGGAGTGGTCAGATTTATTTAGGAGGGAGTCACAACAGGACGCGGTGTATTAGGGGTGCGGGAGAGGAGTCAAAGATGACCTGGTTTCTGACTTGAGTAATGGGATGGTGGAACCACTACAGAAAGACTAGAGGAGAAAGGTCAAGAATTTAGCCTTAGGCATCAACATCCACATGAAGGAGGTGGAAGCCCATTTTATTTATTTATTTATTTGGGGGAGGGGGGGGATCAGAAGAAATCTCTGAGATGGAGACCGAATAATTTGGCATCAGTTTCTTGACCGCCTCACCTTCAGTGATCGTTTTTCCACCCTACCTCGGCCTCTCATTTCCCCTCTGCTGTGTTCCCAACACTGAACCATCTCCAAAATCTGATCACCACTCCTACCCTTCCAGCTCAGCTACTCAGATTTAACCATACATTAAAATCACTGCCTTATAAACACTCTTACCCCACTTAACTGTCCCATTTTCCTGGTAAACACAACTTGCCTACACCTGCTGGGAGGAAAAATAAAACCATGCTGAGGAGTTAAGACTTTAAATCCCATGACTACGGCCCTAGCTGGTTTGGCTCAGTGGATATTGCATTGGCCTGTGGATTGGAGTCCCGAGTTCAATTCCAGTCAAGGGCATATGCCTGGGTTGCTAGCTCAATCCCAAGTGGGGGGAGGGGGAGGTTTCAGGAGACAGCCAATCAATGATTCTCATCATTGATGTTTCTATCTCTTTTTCCTCTCTGAAACAAAAAAAAAAAAAAAAAAATTTAATTTAAAAATAAATCCATGGCTAGATTCCAAAAGGTATCCAATGCTGTTTGAAAATCCTATTCTGCTCATTTTTCCACTCTTTGAAACAAGTATTTTCACATCTTACCTCTAAACTTTTTACCCTGCCCCCTTCTTTACCCTTCCCTGCTGTCTCTACTTCTGATCCTGCCTCATATTTGACTGAGAAAGTAAAGTCATTCAACAGGAGCTCTTATATTCTCACTCCCCAGTTCTACTAACCCACCCACATGAGTGGCCACTTTCTTCCTCTTTCAACAGATGAAAGGTCCCTGCTCCTATCAGAGGCCATCTCTCTAGCTGAACTCTGCACCCAGCCTCTTGCCTTCTGCAATTATCCCCTTTCTCCTGCACCATTAGTTCTCCTCAACTGAACCATCCTATCTGCATACAAACACACCAATGTATACTACCTTAAATACCCCCCCTTACCTCGAAGTCTACCCACCCGCTTTCTCCTCTCTGCTTCACGCAGAATTTCTTGAATGAGTGGGCTATAGTTACTTCTCTTGCTCTTTTCATACTCTCTCTCCATCCCATCCCATCCTAGCAGGGTTTCTGCTCTCATCACTCCACATACTGCTCTTAGTGTCATCAATCCTCACCATGTACATCAATACTAGTGATTCCTTTTTACTTGATCTCTTAGCAGCATTCATCACATTTGACTCAAGATTTGACTCTCTGGCCTGGCTCAGTGGTTGAGCATCCAGCAATGAACCAAGAGGGCACGTGCCCAGGTTGTGGGCTTGATCCCTGTAGGGGGTGTGCAGGAGACAACGAATTGATCTTTCTCTGTGTATATTCCTTTCCCTTCCCGTCTAAAACAATTAAAATCACGCCAAAAAGATTTTACTCTCTCCCAGAATAAATTTTACTTTTCTTCCTACTTCTTAGGCTATTTCTCAATCTCCTTTGTTAATTCCTTCTCTACTCATTCTTGAAATGCTACAGAGCCTTAGGACCTCTGTCTTAGAGCCTCTTTAGGCCTCTGTCCACACACTTTCCCCAGGTAACTTAGTCAAATCTGACAGCAAATCCGATCCATACGAGATGGTGACTCATTTTTGTAATTCTGGACTATACCTCTCCCCCAAAACGGCAGCCCAAACTTAACATGGCCAAGACAGAAAGCTTGCTCCCCTGCCCCCCACCCCCCACCCCCCACCACTGTTCTCTAGTCAGTGAACAATATCAGCCAACTCCTCAAGCAAAAATTCAGTTACATCGATTCTTCTTACCCTCACCTACTGACTCCACCACATCCCATATCCATCCAGTTCCTAGCACCTCTAGTACTCCCATCCTTATCCGTCATTAAATCTTGCCTATGTTACCATAATAGTCTCTAAATTTTCCAATTCTTCCCTAAAATTTTCCGCACAACATATACAGTGATATTTTTAAAATGTAAATTAGTCGGTGCTTCTCAGTCTGGGAAAATTATGCCTGCAGGGTAAAGATACCAATAGTTGTCCCAACTAGATGGGTACTGCTGGCATTTAGTGGGCAGAGGCCAGGGACGCTGCAAACATCCTACAGTGTACTTCTTTACCACAAAGAATTAGACGGCCCAAAATGTCAATAGTGCCAAGGTTAAGAAATCCTAATTTCCATCGTTCCTCGCCGAGAGTTTAAACTGGCAAGTTGACAAGTTCAGTACTGGAAATAGAGGGGTGCTGAAAGCTGAATCTGAGCCTCCTCCTCAGGGGCACACCCCCTCTATTGGCACGGGAACTGCTCAGGGGAAAAGGCAGCCCTCTTCTATTTTAGTTTTCAATAGCTCCCAATTTTACATAGATTAAAATACAAACTCCTTATCCTGGCTTACAAAACCAACTATGATCTGGCCCCGACCTGCTTATCTCTATCCCTAGCCCACGGTGCTCTAGCCAGTCTCTGAATTTGCCAGGTGTGTTCTCCAGGCCTTTGCACTAGCTGTTTCCAATGCCCGGAATGCTCTGGCACCTGATCTTTGGGTAGATAGCTCTTAATCATCATGCAGATTTCAGCTTAAGTGTCAGACACCTTAGTTACCTGGTCACTCTCACATCACTTGTATTTCTCTGCAGAGCCCTTGCCACTATTCATTTGTGTATCTCCAAAGCCATAGTGTGGACTCCATGGGAGCGGAAACCGTCCTGTCTTCATTGCTGTCTAATTCGCCCTCAAACAATGCCTGGCTCATAGTGGGTGCTCGTAGATGATAATGAATAACAAGTCAAGTCTGAAATGTTTATTATATAGCCAGGTGAAGATGTAGAGCAAATGGATCTATCACTATGGAGTTCTGGGAAGAGATAAGGGTTGGAAATAAAATTTGAAAGTAATGTGAGAGTAAAAACTACATTTAAACCATAGGTCTGATGAGGGCACCTTGGATGAAAGCATAAAGAGAGTATTTGAAACCAACGTACCATTTATTGACCTGGCAGTAGAGAAGGGGCTCAGTAAAGGGCCTGCCCCGAGGCCCTCTCTGGGGCTCCAACCTCTCACCGCGGGACAAGCTTATCCCTGGCACCGCCCATTCTCGGCCGGTCTCTGCGCCCTGGGCCCCCACGCACCTCTGGGGGCTCCGTCCTGGGGAGCGGCGACCCTCTTGGTCAGCGGAGTGCGCTTGGGCCCGCCGGCCTGGGTCTGCAGCCCATAGGAGAACTGCGGCGGGTCGTTCCAACCGCGCTCCTTGTTGCCTGCGGGGGGGAGGGCGAGGGTGAAGCGAGCCCGGGGGAGCCGGAGGGTCTGCACCCCACGCCGCCACCGCCTCCGGCCTGGGCCGAAAGGGGGACCCAGCGCCCCCAGCCCGCCGCCCCACTCACCCGGCTTAACGTAAAGCTCCGCCATCTCCACTTCCGCACCGCCAGCGTGGCGGTGCGTCACTTCCGGGGCGGCCGCAGGCCCGGGCCACGCCCCTTCCGGCTGGCTGCCAGAGCCCTCCCTGTAGGACTGCGGTTCGGGACCCCGCGAGCCGGCGGGGACCCGGTACCCGCTCTTTAAGGGTCGGGCCCTGATCTCAGGGCACCAAATGGGGCTGTCTTCCAGGAGGCGGCGCTGTAGAGCCCTCCTACCCTCAGTCTCTGGGCTCACAGGTGATCTCAGGAGCGAGTTTAAACTGCCAGAAGCCCCCGCCCCACGCAGGCTCCGCTGTGGCCCAGCCAGGTAGACTCTAATCTAGAACAAGCATGTCAAACTCGAGGCGGCCCACAACGAATATTTTCGTGGTTCAGCCAATATAATGGTATGTAAGAAATGTTTTAATTGAAATTTCATAACTTTTTACAATATCCTGTTATATATAATCGACATATACAAAAGCCTAAGCGACCCTCCGACTGGTAGCCATGACACTCACTGACCACTAGGGGAGCAGACACAGCCAGGAGCTGCCCGGCTGCAGTGACTTGGCAGCTCCGTTCTCAGGTGACGCTCCCAGAACCCGAGAGGAGGGAGCCCCATTCAGGAGTGCCTCACCGGAGAACTGCCCTCTCACAATCTGGGACTCCCCTTGGAGGATGTCAGAGAGCTGGTTTCAGCCCGATTCCCAGGCCAAGGGACCCCACCGGTGCACAGGCACCGGGCCTCTAGTTTATTAAACAAACTACCACGTTCACTATTGACAGATTACTATAATCGTGTTGCATTCATTTCCCTTATGTGCCTTACGCACAGGTGCACCATTTCTCTCCACTAATACTAGCAGCCAATATTTTAGCAGCCAATTGCCACCTCATTAGACTTGTACTGACTTGTTTGGTGTACGCAACAGGAAATACTTAACTTTCAGAGAACAAGAAAAATATTTGCGCTACACTTATTAATTTGTGCAGTTATTCGGTGGTAAGTTAATATTCAATAAAAAAATATTTTTTAATGGCCCTGGCCATTTGGTTCAGTGGGTAGAGTGTTGGCCTGCGGACTGAAGGGTCCCAGGTTCAATTCTGGTCACATGCCCGGATTGTGGGCTTTATCCCTTTGTTGGACGTGCAGGAGGCAGCCAATCAATGATTCTCTCTCATCATTGATGTTTCTATTGGTATTCCTCTCTGAAAAAATAAAAACATATTTATAAAAAATGTTTATGTTAATAATTATTTATTTCAGCCCTTTGCATTCAGCATGTCTCTATCGAAATGAATCTACGTTTCTATGAAAATTGAAGCTTTTGTTTTTTTTTGCAGCCCATGTAAACTTAAACCTTGTTTGGCCCGTGGTAGCCTTTGAGTTTGACATACCTGCTCTAGGACCTCACCTCTGACCACTGCCTCTACATCAGCGGTTCTCAACCTGTGGATCGCAACCCCTTTGGGAGTTGAACAACCCTTTCACAGGGGCTGCCTAAGACACCCTGCATATCACATATTTACATTACGATTCATAACAGTAGCAAAATTACAGTTATGAAGTAGCAACAGAAATAATTTTATGGTTGGGGGTCACCACAACATGAGGAACTATATTAAAGGGTCTTGGCATTAGGAAAGTTGAGAACCACCGCTCTACATGTATACTCTAGGCTTGATTACTACTACAAAATTCCTTCAGTACTCAAGTATCAACTCGTCAGGAAGCCTAGTATATCCAGCTTCAGGCCAGCTTGTCTTGTCTGAGCTTCCACAACCCTCTGAGATTTCCTAGTTGTTCTATACACTATTTTCTATTTTGTTCTTCTTCCTCCTTGTTAGTCTCAGAAAGTGGAAACCCTACATTATCCCCAATGCTTAGTTTAGTGCCTGGGACAGAGAAGACATTAGCAAATATATTTATTGAATGAAGTCAGGTTTCCATCACACCCATGCCCTCGTGTGACTGTAGGCAGCCACAAACACCACGCACAGACACAGACACCCACTTCACACAGGTTAACCCCCAACCCTGTCCCAGGTCCAATATACTCACACCCAGTGAGGTCACTGAGGGGTTTTTATTCGTACTTACTTTGCTATAAAGTGTTGCTGAGGTAGAGCCAACTGTCCAAAGTTGGCAAGGAACACAGGGACCCGGGGAAAGGAGAGCCGGGGTCCTGGGATGTGGTGCAGTTATCCATAGAAACAATCAATAAATTGGGCAATAAATACAGGGTGCACAAGGTTGGAGGGACAGGCAGAGAAGGTTCCAGAGGGTGAGAGGCTACATGTCCCTGGGGAAAGAAGGGGTGCAGAGTTGAGCATGGACCCAGAGCCTCATGACCCCGGCCCTCCCAGATCAACTTAGGACATGTGGAGCAGAGAGGGTTTCAGTCGAAAGGCATCGAGAAAAGAGAAGATGCCCCGCTTTCGAGGGGCAGCCCCTGCACCTCCAACCCCTCCTTTGAGTAGGGGGAGAGGCAGGGGACCTCCTGGCGAGTCCACAGAGCTGGTCCGCTTGAGTCGCAGGCGGGCACGGGCCTGGGCACTCCAGGCCTTGCCTCGAGATGCAGAAGCCACAAGACACTTCTGGTACTGAACCTAGGGAGAACGGGCATGTGAGGACCAGCTCTTTTCTGTCTCGGACTCCCCGAGGGCTTCTGCAGGGCAGGGGACTGGAGAAGGTTTCAGTCGGACATGAGGCTTGTAGTCCACCACATCTACAGCACTCCCAGGTAGCTCAAGATCAAAAACACAACACGTGACACTTACTGAGCACTTAAGGGGGGCTGGACACTGTGCTAAATGCTTGGTATAATGTAACAATCCAATTACTTATCAGGTGTTGTTATCCTCATTTTACAAATGAAGAAATTGAGATTTCGAGAGAATGCATGACTTGCCCAAGGTCACCTAGCCAAAAAATGGTAGAATTGAGATTCAAATCTAGTTTGTCTGACTGCAGACCTGTGCTCTCAATCTCAATCCCTCTCTCTCTCTCTCGCTCGCTCTCTCTCTCTCTCTCTCTTTCTCTCGCTCTATCTCTATCTCTCTCTCTCTCTCTTTCTCTGGAGGAGACCAGCCCCTAGCAGAGTGGATTCCCTAGTCAAGGAGGTCTTCCACTCAAACTCCATTCCCCATGTAGATGCCCCAATCTTCTCTCATTTGAATTCAGCAGGGTCCTCAACAGTCTTCCTTACTTCTTGTGTCTTCCAAATCTTTCACCTACACTATGGGGTCTTCCTAATCTGCAAACCTGATTTCACTGTCCTGCTCAAAACTTTTCAATGGCTCAGAATGCCTCCGGGCAAAACGAACTCATCACCCTGACCTCTAAGTTCTTCCATGTCCCGGTTTCTGCCATTTTTTTCTGCCCCCATCTGTCACTCCATCCCACCGAGCACCCCAGATACATTAGACTCTCTCAGATACACTACCTAACATCTCTCACCTTCACAGCTGGAGTTCCCTGTACGTGGCACGCCTTCTGTCCTACTGCTCCTCACCTAGCTAACGTCTTCCTTAGATCTTCAACTCTCCACTTCCTATCACCTCTTACAGGTAGACTTCTTGAGCCCCTGAACGGACCTTCTCCTCCGTTATCCTGTAGTGTACAACTTCTTTCTGGTCTGTCTCTGCTTCAACCCAAGGCCGTGCATGCCCTCTATACCACTGAATTACCAGGGTCAGGTACGGTCCCTGCAGGCATTCATGTATTTATGGAGTGAGTGAGTAAACTAAAGAGTGGGAGCATTCTATACTTAAATGCCCTCAGATATCAGGAAATAACCTAAATGAAAAAAAAAATGGAAGACAATGCCCAACTGATAGGGCAGAGCTCCTACACAATTCCAGCCCAATGTTAAAATGTATGCAGGTAGACCCAGTGTTAGACTGATAGTTTAAGAAAAACAGGAATAGCAATTATTGTGTGAAATGTCCTGGCAACTCATTAAAATGTATTCAAAAGAGCATGAGGGCCAGATAAAATACTAAGAGTTATGGTCAACCCCGGTATCAAGGGTTTGTGATTTCTGGAAAGGCTGCCCATCCTGAGCCCCAATCACCAGTACAGAGCAGCAGCAGGGCCACCCCACCCACCATCCCACCCCTAACTCACCATGCAAGCAGCCTGCACAGCTTCGGAGAGTCCCCCCGCATGGGGCTGGCACCAGAAGGCCGCGCACTGGAAGCTCTGACGGCCCAGGTCAGCAATGAGGCCGAAAGTGTGTGGGTCGCGGCCGACACCAATAAAGGTCACGAGGCGCACTGGGCACTGCCACAGCAGCTCCTCCTCCGCGTCAGCCTCTGCCTGCCCACCAGGCCCAGTCACTGGAGGGCTCGGCTCGGGCGGGCCCGCTGAGCTCTCTCCAAGAGCAAGCAACGACACCCAGCACCCCTGCCCACCCTCCCGCAGCCCCCAGCTTCAGCTTCTGGTACCTGGATGGGATGTGCAGTCATGAAGGAGTCGGACACACTGAGCGTGGCGGGCACCCAGGCGTCCCGGTCCCCGCGGGTGGTGAGGACGCCAATGGCCTCGTTCAGCACGTCCATTCCTGCGGGGACAGGCCCACTATGCTGTCTCCCAGACACAGGAAGGGAGGACGCTGCAGGGGGTGTCCAGGCCCCTCCCACTGTCTTGGAATTCAGAGAGATGAAAAGAGAATGCCTGGGGCTGGGGCTGGGGCTTAGAACCCTGAGTTGGGAAAGGTAGTGCATCCGGGCTACACAGGGCCATGGAAGCACGCTGAGCAATGGGGGATCCCACCTCACCCACCTTCCCCTTGCCTGAGCAGCCCACCTCCCCCTCCAGCCTGCTCAGTCCTCACCCATGGCTTTGGTGACCGGCAGGGTCCCCATATACAGTGCCTGGTACTTCTGAGCAGCTTGGCTCACCGCATCCAGCAGCTCCGCTGAAATACACACGGCATGTTGGCCTGCATGCTCTGTCAACCACCCCTCGCCCCACCCTTCCGAGAGAGCTGGAGCTAGCAGAAATAGAAGACCAGACCATGAATGTGCCTCCAATTCAGGGCTTGGGTTCCCGGAACCAGAAGTCCCATATCTCCAAGGAAGTACTAAGTAACCAGGCCCCCGTCCCATCTCTCACTAAAATAGTCTGTTGCTGCAACACAGGACCCCCTCCCATACCTTGCCTCGGCAGATCTTCAGGGGAGATGGTGTCTAGTGAACAGCAAGGGGAATCACCACTGACCCCTACTCGCTCTGACAAGATCTGAAACAAGATGCAGCTAGCTTGAGGCACAGGGAGAAGGGAATGGAGGTAAGGGAATCAATACCCCCCTGCCCCAACCACCCTGGCAGCTTCAGACCCAGCCCCGTCCCACATCCCCTACCCCACTCCTGGGGCTCACCTGAGCACAGAGCCCGTGTAGGGCACTGGCAATGGCCTTGGCAGGGACATCACAGCGAAACACGTGGCACTTGAGCATACAGCTGTCTTTGTCGCCCGCCACAAAAGCGAAGTCCCTGGCAGGTCAGAGATGGGGCTGGGGTAGAGACTGGGTAGGGGCAGTCTGCAGAGGCTAGAAAGCCAGGCAAGGGATATGGGAAGGATGGACAGGGAGGTCAGGGCTGGGGCTCAAGGCACCTGGCTGTCACTCACCTGTCACTGTTCCGGAAGCATGTGGGAGCACAGGAGAGAATCAGCTCAGCCTCTCAGTCCCTGCTGAGCTGGGCCCACCCTCCCCAACCAGGGCTGCACAGGCAGGGAAGGCAGAGCTTGGATCCATGTCAGAGGATCTGTGTCCAAGGGTTTAAGGACAAGGGATCGCATCAGTGGGGAGCATCAGTGGGGAGCACAGCCTGCAGCAGGGGGAAGGAGCAACTTTCCCTGGAGGGGATGCTGGGGTCCTCACCGGCCCTTGGAGCTGCCCACACCCCACACACGGATGTGCACCAGGGGCTGGCAGTGGATCAGACTGTGGTCCAGGGGATTCACCAGGCTCATGGCATCCTTCTTCAGGATCATTAGCATGTTCTGGCCCTGTCAAGGACAGAGGGCAGCCCAGAGCTCGGATGAAGGTGGTTGCCATGGGGAACAGACAATTCAGAGACAAACCACCTCGACTGGACCCCGAGCTGAATCCTTGAAGGGCTGGCTAGCTCACCTCGCCCCAGGCACCGGCTGGGGGCTGGCTCCGGCTGCGGGTCTGGGCCAGCTGCTGGATGCAGTTACTGACTGCAATACTGCTCTTCCCTGGCACCAGGTCCTCTTCGGGCACCTCTGCCCAGCCCAGAGAGCGGACTGCAAAGCACTGACAGGTTAGGAGAGAGGACAGAAGGGCCCCAAGTGAGTAGTGGCGGAGTAAGGGTGAAAGATGCCACAGGCTACACACATACAAACCCTCTGATACCCCCCCTTTGATCATCTCTGCTCAGCCCAACCCCACCCCTGACCTTTCCCTGGGGGCCTCCCCCAGTGCCATGGGCTGGCCCTCAGACCCAAGTCACTACCTTGGCCCCTGGTTCCATGCTCTGGACGTAGGATTCCTCACCATACCAGGACAGAGAGTTACTGGAACAGAACAGAGCTGGTAAGGGACCTACCGAAGGGACCCGTGAGGCACAGACTACTTGATAGACAAAAGATGTGGGATGAGACCCAGGATATAAAGTCCCAAATGTAAAACCAGAGCAGGGAAGGCCCAGGACATATTAAACAAATGTAACCTAAAGAGCATGACTTAGAATCTGAGGGGAAAATCAGGGCACAGGATATAGAATAAAAGCTGTAAACAACGAGCAGGGTTCAAAATGTGAACTAGAGCTCCAAACGGGGACAAGAGACCCCAGACCAGGACAGGAATCTCCATGGACAGGTCCCCGGACAGTGCCCAAGGTCTAGAGCACGGTAAGTCAGGATGCAGAATGCGGAAAAGAACATGGCAAAAGACGGAGCTTGGAACTAGACCAAAACTCAGAATACTGAATCAAAACATGAGTCAGAGTCCAGAACCTGGGCTGGAAAGCAGACTGTAGAACCAGCTGCATCTCTGAGGGCCATGGAACCCCAAGCCCTTCATTTGGCCCAGCCCGGCCCGGCCTATCCCTGTTACCTCCGGTCCAGTGAGCTCTCCAGGCTGGAGAAGGATCTCCCCTTGGGCGGCCGAAGTCCCCAAATCCCTTCCGAGCTCTGCAGAGAGGAGGCTAAGTCAGTGTAGCAGCAGGCCAGGTCCACACATGGGCTCAGGCCCCCTCCTCACCCTCCACCTACCGTGCCTGGGTCCTCTGCATCGCCCGGCTCCCAGGTTGGGCGCTGCCACTGGGTGCTGCCGCTTGGTACGTGCCAATAGTAAGTACCTGCAGCATCGTGGATCTTTCTCCAGCCAGGGGGCAGGCCGGGCTCTCCCTCCAGACTCTGGTCCCCCCACAAGTCATCTACAGGAACACGGAATGAGGAGGGGGGGCACAGGATTGGAGGAGGGCATATCTGGGGGTTCAGAATAACACCTTGTCAACCCTTATGCTGGAGGTCCAGGCAGACGGATGAGGCTCCCGATCTTGGATATTATGACAGTGCAAAGATCGGGGTTCATCTGTGCCCTAGTTCTCACCCCAGGACGTCCCCTCCTCCCTGTGTTTGAGCCTTGGGGTAGCCCTTCACCTTCCCCTTCCCCTCTCAGTTCCCGGTCCTCCCTCCCCTCGGACCCCTCCGTGCACACCGTCGCAGTTGACCAGAATTATGGCCAGCATGTAGTCCTTGCCCAGCATAGCCCCGGCCGCGTCCCCGCCGGCCTCGGCCGGCCCGCACTCTCAGCCCAGCTCGACCTCTGGAGCTGCTGCGCCGACAAGCCCAGCCGCTCTGCGCCGGAGTCAGCCGGGCCCGCGGACGCCACACGAACCCGGGGCGGGGCGGGGGCCGTCCCGGCGCTGAAATATGGCCGGAGGAGCCGCGCCGCTCGCCGAGAGGGGGCGCACGTCACCGGCGTCAGGATCCCCGAGTGGATGCGCGCTTCGGCGTGGGGACAGGGGCGGGGCGCCGGGGCAGCGCACCAGCCGCGCCGCACGCAACTATGAGCTCATCGGGCGGCGGGTGACCCACCAGGCGAAAGTGCGCCGGGCCCTCAGCGCACCGGTGAGAGCAGCAAGCCCAGGTCGTGTGCGCGCGCGCACGCGCAGCTGAGACCCGAGAGGAGGAGTCACGTGGGAGTATCGGTGGTCACAAGGCCACCTGAGCTCGGCCGCCGAGGCAGCGTCTCTAGCCGCGCTGGCGTGGCTCAGGGTTGCGCGTGGACCTGCGAACCAGGAGGTTACCCTCGGATTCCTGTCAGAGCACATGCGGGGGTTGCAGACTGGATCCCTAAGTGTGGGGACCGTAGGAGGCAGCCGATCAGTAATTCTCATCATTGATGTCTCTATCTCTCTCTTCGTCTCTGAAATAAATAAATATATTTCTGTATAGATTTTTTTTTAAAGAAATTTTAAGAAAGCGCCTCCAACCTTTCAAAAAAAAAAAATGTCCCGGAAGTGCCTCCGCCCTCAGTAATGATGGGCACTTGGTTTGAGGGGGCGGGGCTGCGCCTGCGCAACAAGCTCCACGAGGGAAGATGGCGGATGACAAGGTGAGTGACCGTGGGGGTGCTCTACAGTCGGGGCGGTATTCACACGGTTTCAGTCCTGGGGAAAGACAACGCCTGGTGGGGATGCCCCTGGCTTTCTCTGGGGGTGGGCTTTTGCTCACGCCGACGGCCTCAACAGTGTGGAGTAGATTGGCGGGGCACTAAGGAGGCAGACAGCTGAGGAACCCCCAGGTTTCCCCCTGGGGTCCCGCTCAGTACCTGGTTTCTCACATCAAACCCTTCCACTCTCACACACTCCTCACTGTTTCGTTCCCTAGCCCTGGGAATTTCCCCTCCCAGAGACACCTTGTTCCAAATTCACACTGACACACTCATTCAAACACTTACTGGCACACACACTGAAGCCCATACTTTATGCAGTCAAAATCACTCGGTTCCTTGACCCATACTCCTACTGACAGCCCTTTCCCGCCCCTCCCACCCTCCCGCGAGCATGCATAGGCACACATTCCGTTTGGGGTGGCCTTGGCTGGAGAAGGGGGAGAAGTCCGGACAGAAACCAGGTTTACCTCCAAATTGTCCAAGGAAGCTGCCTTGGGCCGTTATTTACCTTTGATGTGAAAGCTCAGCACCACTCACACATTTACTAAATACTTCTAGTCCCTGCATTAGGACTTGGGATTCAGTAGACAAGACAGACTGGTCTCTACTTCCACATAGCTTATAGTCGAGTCACTAGCATTTTCCTGATGGATCTAATTGAAGGTCCCCTAGCTGTCCTTCCCGCCTTCCCTGCACACTGCTTACTATATGAAGTTCTGTAAGGTACTGATGCACATCCCATCTGTCACTCCCTTCCTGGCCCCAGTGTGAATTCTGTCATTTTCAAGGCCCTTTTTTCCTTTACCAATGTCATCCCAGGAAGGTGTTAATGTGAAGAGGTTTCACAGGCTCAACCCATCCCACCTCCTCCCCAGCCTCTGATAGACTTGAGCAGGGGATGGGGCTAGGTCAGTCTGCTGGAGCCACTCTCTCCCTGTCCATAGGACTCTCTGCCTAAGCTTAAGGACCTGGCCTTTCTCAAGAACCAGCTAGAGCGCCTTCAGCAGCGTGTGGAAGACGAAGTAAGAAGTGGTGTGGGCCAGGTAACACTGCATCTGACACCCCCCAACCCCCCTTAGGCTTTATTGTCCAGTGTGCTTTTGCATGGGTGGTAGAGATTTATTCAGCAAATGGTTATTGAGGGCCTGTTCTCTGTGACTTCAAGGAACGTTTCCCTGAGAAAAAGGCACTTGATCTGGGATCTTAAATAGGAGATAACTAGGTGAAGGGGAGGAGGGGAACATTCCAGGAAGATGGAAAGACATATTCAGAGTTCTTGTGGTGGGAAGTGGTGTGATGAACGTGGAGGTGAAAGCAGTTCCGTTTGGCCGCAGTAGTGGGAGAGCACTCGAGGAAATGAGAAGCAAGCGGGGTCAGATTCTTCAGCAGCCTGGTGGCAGCGAGCTTCTGTGTTTGGAGCCTCCTGGCCCCAGGGTTCTGAGATTATGTGATCAGAACTCCTAGGTTATTTTTCTGCCTCCAGAACCTTGAGGAAATCTTGGGAGAGAATACTACAACTTTCCAGAGGGAGAAGGAGCAGGTGATGGGATGCTCTCAGCCCAGATCGAGTAGCTCCTGGTGAGAGAAGGGAAGAACCTACTGAGTTTCCTCCTGAATCTTCTTCCGCAGGATGGCTCGCTCATGTCCTCCCCATTCCTCAAAGGCTTCCTGGCTGGCTACGTGGTGGCCAAACTGAGGGCATCGGCGGTATTGGGCTTCGCTGTGGGCACCTGCACTGGCATTTATGCAGCTCAGGCATATGCTGTGCCCAATGTGGAGAAGACGATAAGGGACTACCTGCGGTCGCTGCGAAAAGGGCCCGACTAGCTCTGGATCCTGTGGGGGAGGCAGGATGAGAAGCTGGGGCCTGCAGGTGGAGGCCTCTCGACCACAGATGCCATATCTGGCTTCCCTGGCTGTCACCCAATTGCTGTCTCCAAGTTTCCTGTCGCCTTCATCCTTGCTTCCCTTCCTGCAGAGGGTGGATATTGGCTCATCAGCCAGCACCCTCGATACCTCCTTCCCTCCCTAACCCCATGGGACTGATCCCAAGACTGTGGCTTCTGAGGCCACCAGACCCTTTCCCACCCTGAGTGTGGAGTTTGCAGCTGACGATGTGCCACGGCTCCTGCCCTCTGGGAGCCAACTCCATATCTTGTGTCACAGTCCTCACTGCCCCTTGTTAGTTACACAGGCCACCCAGGGTCTGGTGTGGGCATGAGTGTAGAGGACGGGGGAGTGCCAGGCCTGGGCCGTCCCAGCAAGGCCCGCTGGACCTTGATGCTACTCCTGTCCACTGCCATGTATGGTGCCCATGCACCATTGTTGGCACTGTGCCATGTGGATGGCCGAGTGCCCTTCCGGCCCTCCTCAGCTGTGCTGCTGACTGAGCTGACCAAGTTACTGTTGTGCGCCTTCTCCCTCCTCGTAGGCTGGCAAGCATGGCCCCGGGGGGGCCCGCCCTGGCGCCAGGCTGCCCCCTTTGCACTACCAGCCTTGCTCTATGGCGCTAACAACAACCTGGTGATCTATCTTCAACGATACATGGACCCCAGCACCTACCAGGTCCTGAGCAATCTCAAGATTGGAAGCACGGCCCTGTTCTACTGCCTCTGCCTCCGGCGCCGCCTCTCTGCACGCCAGGGCTTAGCACTGCTGCTGCTGATGGCAGCGGGGGCCTGCTACGCAGCTGGTGGCCTCCAGGACCCTGGGAACACCCTGCCTGGGTCCCCTCCAGCAGCTAAGGCTGGCCCCATGCCCCTGCACATCACTCCGCTTGGACTGCTGCTGCTCATTGTGTACTGCCTCATCTCGGGCTTGTCCTCCGTGTACACGGAGCTGCTCATGAAGCGACAGCGGCTGCCCCTGGCGCTTCAGAACCTCTTCCTTTACACGTTCGGTGTGCTCCTGAACCTGGGGCTGCATGCAGGTGGCGGCCCCGGCCCAGGCCTCCTGGAGGGCTTCTCGGGCTGGGCCGCGCTCGTGGTGCTCAGCCAGGCGCTGAATGGACTGCTCATGTCGGCTGTCATGAAGCACGGCAGCAGCATCACTCGCCTCTTTGTGGTGTCCTGCTCACTGGTGGTCAACGCTGTGCTCTCAGCGGCTCTGCTGCGGCTGCAGCTCCCAGCTGCCTTCTTCCTGGCCACCCTGCTCATTGGCCTGGCTGTGCACCTGTACTATGGTAGCCGCTAGCCCCTGACCACTTCCAGCTGGACTCCTGACCTGGAGATTGGGCGTTACCATCAGAGCCACCTCCTAGCTCCCTTTCCCTCAGCAGCCCTGTACCAAGTGCCTTGTGAGAAATCCTGGGGAAGTGACAGCCACCAGATGGGTGGGTGAAGGTATACCCCTGAGAGACTTATGGAGTGGGTTTGGTTACAGAAACTGGAAGCTCTTAAACATCACCCTCCCTCCCGCCCCCAAGTTTTTCCAGACTAGGGAATTAAGGGAGCATCACTACCTGGACCTGAGAAATGACCCCATCTCTGACGGAACAGGTTCCCTGTCCTGTCCAGCATGAATTCAGTTGTCCCCTTCCCCGCCTCCGTCCTACAGGAAAGCCCAGTTGCCAGATTCCACACCCATCACCTTGGCCATTCTGCTGAGCTCCCGTAGCTCCAGGATTGCCTGGAGGCAGTGCATCCCTGCTCCCCTCCACAGTGCTGCTCCCCACACCCAGCCTTTGTTCTGGAAACTCCGAGGGGCTGGGGCTTGGCTCATCTCAGGAAATGTTTCCCCTGGGCTCTGGCTTACACTCCTGTCTCTCTACTCACCCAGAGAGCCTCTTGAAGCCCAAGCCCCCTCTACAGCTCCTAGGAGTTACCATTCCAGGTCCTGCCCCTGCCTAGCAGTGTCCCACCTCCCAACAGCCACAGAAGCTCTGCCCGGAGCGACCTGGGACCAGCACAGGGAAACTGGTACAGCTCAACCAATGTCAGACTGCATAAGCAATAAAAAGGTCTTAATAAAGCGTTCCGGAGTGTAGGCGATTTCTATAATCAGTTGTGATTGTCTTGTGTCTTCTGTCTTGCTTAGCTCCTCTCAAACAATTTCATTCCCCTGGTGCCCTTCGTATCTTCATCCTGGGGTACCAAAGACTAAGAGAAAAGGCTGTTTTCTCCTTCATCGTTGCCAGAAGCATAATTTCCTCTGAGGGTTCCATGGAGCCAAGACTGTTCTCCGTCACAGAACTTTGGAAACCCCTGAAGTATGAAACGGGTGCTGGGGAATTTGGCAGCATCTTGGGAATAGAAGACACTGTGCCCAACGGGACAAACCAGACTAGGCCAGAGAGCTCTTCAGGACTCGAAGTGGTTAGGATTCTGGTTCCTCTGTCTCCTCACTGATACTCCTGCCTGTCATCTGATCTCACGGCCAGAGGAATGTCAGGCCCTGCTCCCATGGAAGAATACCTGGTAAACCTGTTTTAAAAAGTCCCAGACGTATTGAAACAGAATCCTAGTGAGTGGGGTTAGAGAATCTTTTTTTTTTTCTCCTTTAAAAAAAATTTTTTTTAATTGATTTCAGAGAGGAAGGGAGAGGGAGAAAGATATAAACATCAATGATGAGAATCATTGATTGATCATCTGCATGCCCCACACTGGAGCTCGAACCTACAACTCAGGCATATGCCCTGACTGGGAATCGAACTGTGATCTCCTGGTTCATAGGTTGGTGCTCAACCATTGAGCCACACCAGCTTTTTTTTTTTTTTTTTTTTTTTTTTGCAGCTTCCTAGGACTGGTGCACTGCAGTTTGTGAACACTACTATCTGCTGTGTACAGCTATAGCAAACTAGACCTGAATTTGAACACTGTCACTCACCAGCTGACTATCCTTGGGCATATATTTAACCTCTCCTAGCTTTAGTTGCCTTAGTTCAGAAATGGGGTCAATGGTAACATAATTATTTTGGGCATTAAAAAAGGCTAAATGAGCCGAAGCTGGTTTGGCTCAGTGGTAGAGCGTCAGTCTGCAGACTGGGGGGTCCCAGGTTCGATTCCGGTCAAGGGCATGTACATTGGTTGCGGGCACATCCCCAGTAGGGGATGTGCAGGAGGCAGCTGGTCGATGTTTCTCTCTCATCGACATTTCTAGCTCTCTATCTCTCTCCCTTCCTCCTCTCTGTGAAATATCAATAAAAATATATTAAAAAAAAAAAAGGCTAAATGAAATACTGGGTATTAGGTGTTTAAGCAGGGACTGGTACAATGAAACCTGGTTTGTGATGGTATTAATTATAATGAAGGTTAGCTTGGTTATTGTGTTCCAACTTTCTCTTCCTTCTTTAAGACCCTTACGAATAAGGAGGGTCCTAGCAGGTTTGGCTTCTTGGATAGAGCATCACCCTTCGGACTAAAGGGTTCCAGGTTCGATTTCAGTCAAGGGTAGTCAGGGTTGCAGGCTTGATCCCTGGCCTTGGTCAGGTCACACGCAGGGGGCAACCAATATCCATTGGTGTCTCTCACATGGATGTTTCCTCAATCTCCCTTCCATTCTCTAAAAATCAATGGAAAAATATTGTTGGGTGAGGATTAACAATAAAGAATAAGGAGAGAGGGTACTGGCTGGGTAGCTCCATTGATTAGAGAGTTGCCCTGATATGCAAAGATTGCAGGTTCAATCCCCAGTCAGGACACATACAAGAATCATCCATGAATGCATAAATAAGTGGAACAACAAATCTCTGTTTCTCTCCCCACCCCACCCCACCCCCGTCCCCTTGCTTCATCTCTCTCTAATTAATCAGTAAATAATTTAAAAAGAAAGAAAAGGAGAGAGGAAACGGCTCCTGAAGGACTCCTGATCACCATATTTCTCCCCAAGGCAAGGATCCAGCATGACTGCCCCAGCCTAGTCTGCAACCTGCCCGAGCTCCTGGTTCTGTGCAGCCAGGTTTATGGTGTCTTGCAGGATGCCAGCCAGCAGGCTGCGGTGGTGTCGCTCTGTGGCCATGGCCTGCTCCTCCCACAGCTCCCGCCAGGCTGGGGAATACCTGTGCGCAGGTTCAGAGATGTCTGTCAGTTAGCCAGCATGGTAACCAGCTCAAGGCCTGTCCTCTGTCCCTACTAACCTGTAACACGTGGCATGTCCGTGCTCGGGTGGCCTGCACATGCAGGGCTATCAGGTCCCGCTCGGCCCGAAGGCTCCAGCTGGAGCCTCAGCACTGTCTGCTCCCCGTGCCACTGCTGTCTCCTCTTGGAGGCCTGCAGTGATAACACAGCCAGCCTTTCGGATCCACATCTTGCCTTCACGGATTCAACCAACCCGGATTGGGGTTGGGGGGCGGGGGAGTGTGTGTGTGTGTGTGTGTGTGTGTGTGTGCGCGCGCGCTTTTATTGATTTCAGAAAGGAAGGGAGAGATAGAAACATCAATGATGAGAGAGAATCATTGATCAGCTGCCTCCTGCACAACCCACACTGGGGATCAAGCCCACAACGCAGGCATGTGCCCTTGGCCAGAATTGAACCCGGGACCCCTCAGTCCACAGGCCGATGCTCTATCCACTGAGCCAAACCAGCTAGGGCGAAAATATACATATTTTTAATGTTCCATTATTGCTGATGTTGTACTATGTAGTTAGGCCCACAGTGGCTGCGTGTCTGAGCTGAACATGTACAAAGTTTTTCTTCTTTTTTCTTAAGTTTTTCTTCTTGTCACTATTCCTTAAGCAATACAGTATAACAACTACTTGCATAACATTTGCACTGTGTTAGGTATTATAAGTAATCTAAAGATGATTTGAAGTATACAGGAGGATATGTGTAGGTTACATGCAAACACTGTGCCATTTTATATAAGGGATTTGAACACCTGTGAATTTTGG